AAAAAAACCACCCACACAGGAAAGAAGGTGGCAAGTTTGGCTTTGCAGAGTCTATAGCAAGCCAAAGAATCACAGCATTTAAAATGGAAAAGGCCCCTATTGATACCTCTGATGTGGAAGAGAAAGCAGAAGAAATTATTGCGGAAGCTGAACCTCCTTCAGAAGTGTATCTTTATTGGGTGGTTTTTTTCAGGAACAGAATTCATATCACTTTTGGCGTCATTAGGTATATGGGAAGGTGTGCATACTGAAGTTTGTTTTCTGAAACACTGCTTTGTTAGAGAAAGCGTTTAAGATACAAGACAGTGATTAGTTATATTAAGCCCTTGGTGTAACATCCACCTCTTTAGCTATCCTACAAAAACAAGAAATCTTCTATCTTAATGAGTTCACACCATTTTATTTTCCTTTGGAAAATGTTTTTCATTTATTTTGAGAGACAGAGGAAGCAGACGAGGAGCGAGAGAGAGAATCCCAAGCAGGCTCCACACTGTCAGCACAGACCCCTATATGGGGCTTGAACTCATAAACCAAGATTATGACCTCAGCCAAGATCATGACCTGAGCCGAAGAGTCGGACACTTAACTGAGTCACCCAGGTGCCCCTGGAAAATTGTTCTTTAATCTCAATGGCATGGTCAAGCATTTTATATACTATAAACATTGTTCTTGGAAATTATTTATTCATCCAATTGCCAAATTTATTACTACAACTGTTAAAAGCCAGTATGTCTTGGTGTTTCTCACCATTGTTTCCATAAAATCTTATCTGTGTTACATGTTTTTTTTCTTTATTGGTCAGCCATCCCGTAGCGTAGCTATTAGTAAAATTTTTACATACAAACTTGAGGAACACTTCAGTTTTGAAACCTTTATTCTCATCTTTTTTAACACTGCATCAAATAGCAGTAAAGTTTTCTTAACTTGTTACGTGTTTCTAAACCTGTGCTTTGGACTCCTGGAACTGCCCAAATTGGAGAGGGAATAGAAAACTCCTGGGGTGATCTTGAAGACTCTGAGAAGGAAGAGGATGATGAAGGTGGCAGTGATGAAGCTATCATTCTTGATAGTATAAAAATGGACACTAGAGAAGTCTCCAATATTGGAAGTCAAGGTAGGTAACACTTTATTTACGGCTTTTATGTAATACATGTGAATCTTCCTATTGTAGGGATCTTATTTTTGTATTAGCAGTTCTTTTTTTAAAGGGGCTAAATATTTTGTGATTTAAATTTCAGTTAAGCTGTTGATGCTAAACTACTATATTACTCCAGTTCTTTTCTAAAACAATGTGCTTATCTTTGTGGAGTAGCGGTATTCTGGTATGTAGTGGCATTTTTAATAATTTTTTTCTTTTGTATGTATATCTGAGCCAGTTTTAAAGGGAGGCTTTTCTTAAAGATTTCATTACTACATGCTGTTTTTCCTTTGTAGTTTCTAGACTCAAACATAAAAAGCCCATATCGTAACATCTGTTAGAGTAGTACTTTCCAAATAGAACTTCCTGTAATGTTAGGAATGTTCTATATGTACACTGTTCAATAAATATAATGGCCACTAGCCACATGCAGATACTGAGCATTTGAACTGTGGTTTGTGACACAAGAATTTTAAATTTTAATTTTAGTTAAAATTAAATAGCCGTATATAGCTATTGTATCAGAGCGGTATTAGAACATACAAAACTCTAGAATTACCTGGAATACTGTAGAACTGAAGAAAATTGTTTTTAACCTGTGGTTATTTTTACTGTTAGGAAAGCCAGTTTCTTGCTTGGCCCATAATAATCGCGAAATTTTTTTTTTCTTAATGTAGTAAAAACAAATCATACAAGTTTGGATGTAGGAAGTAGGCTGGCAGAGAACTAAAGGGTGCATTTACTAAATCTGGCTGAAAAAAATAGTGAAGGGGATACTTTTTACGTATATAATATGCATAGCTGCCTACTGTCAAGGAATGAAATTGCCTATCAACATTGCTAAGAGCCTGCCAGGGTTTTTATAAGGAAAAAAATCCCCATTGATTGGGACCCTTAGGTTTTTATTTACTGTATTTTTACACCAATATAAGCTGCTTGAATGCAGGGACTGTGAATGAATCGGTAGAATTTCATGTCATTGCATATAGATCAGCCACGCTTTTAAATGCTGCATAGAATTGTAGGTTTGACAATAACTAGGTTGGCCTAATCATCCCCTTATGGATAAATGTTACTACTTTCTGTTATAGTGCTCCAGTAGGCATCCTTGTATATGCCTCTTTATATATTTGTGAAATATTTTTCTAAGATTAATAAGGTTAGTGCTAAACATTCAGTTGCTGCTTTGAAGAATAGTATTTTCAACTGAATAATCAAAGTGGACTTAAGATAATTGGGAGGATAAAGCAGGTAAAGCCTTTCTGAAGCCTTTCTCCTTGTGGAACACAAGGAGAAACTAATTGAAAACTCAAAGACTTGGTATGCCAACTGGGAAAACGGTTAATTCACATTTTATATATATCGTTCATTAACTAAGGCTTAGGAGAAAAACTGGTCAAAGATAAATAATACAAACGGCCAGTAACCTTATTTCATAGGCAACCCTAGTAGTAACAAAGGAAATAAATTCAAGGCACAAGGGGATGTTTTCTGACTACTGTATTAGGCAATATTAAAAATGTCACCATTGGCAAGTGTGAATAGGAAGATGCCTTCTTCATATACTTATTTCTTGGGGTATAAATTGGAACAGTATTTTTGCAGAATTTGGCAAAATATCTTTTAGAATGTGTATGCCTTTTGACCCAATAATTCTGCTTCTAGGTATTTTCCTTCCAGTGTTGTTTCTAATAGAAAGTTATATAGATTTTTTTCTCCTATTAGACATGTATGAAATGTAATTATATTGAACACGTATAATTGTCATGTAATTACAGAATTTTTAGGAAATAAAGTAATGTTATTTTTCAGAGCTCCAAGGAATTACTTAAGGAAAAGAACCAAGTAGTTCTGTAAGCCTCCACTCAGAGTAGTTTGGGATATTTGTACAGAAATAGAATGTTAGAACTGCTGACCTAAACCCATGTGGAAAATTTCTAAGAGATTATTTATATTGTTTCCTTAACATTTTCTTAAGATGCCCCCATAGTACTCTCAGACAGTGAAGAAGAAGAAATGATCATTTTAGAACCAGACAAGAATCCAAAGAAAATAAGGTAACAAGTTTCTGATTTATTTCAAGTGTATACACATACTCAAGACTTTTCTGGTTTTATTCTCATCTTATCCTACTATAAACAGACACCCCCTTTTTAATTTGAAATCCAGCTGTTCTTTCTGTGGTTTCTTCAAACTGAGATTTAAAAACATTAGGACCTAATTCTATAAAACTGGATTACTTTTAAAGTAATACTGCATTTTATTCTCATAGTTGGCAAGTGTTCTATATTCTACTGGAATAAGGCGCCTCCTATTTTGGAAAAAATAAGGCCTCCTATTTTGGTAATCCAAAATTAACGAGCAAAATATTATGAGTGTGGCAAACCACCCATGGTATCAGCTTGTAGTGCTAATACTGTTAGTAAACTGTTAATTTATTTTATTCACAGAACACAAACCATCAGTGCAAAACAAGAAAAAGCACCAAGTAAAAAGCCAGTGAAAAAGAGAAAAAAGAAGAGAGCTGCTAATTGAAGCTCACATAGTTGTATATTTGTGTATATAACTATTAAAAGAATATTTATTCAGTGCTAATAACTTTGGGTATTTTTCTCTTCACAAATCCATTATAAAATCTAGTCAATTCCATAATAGTTTTTTACATTATGCTTTAAAATAAACCTTTTGGACAACTTAACAGGTTTTAAATAACTGTCACTTCAGTAAAGTGTAAAAATTGATGAGGAATGAAAAAGCATTTTCATAGTGTGTACAAAGAGCTGAAAGATTCTCAGGATCATCACAACAGATAAATAAGCAGATTTATTCCAGATATGCTTGGATTATGCGCAAGTCACCAAATTGATCCAGTGGCTTAGGAAAATGGATGCTCAAACTTTTATCCGTTTTCCTACACAAGAGAAGCCTTCCCAGTCCCCTTCTATAGTATATGAAATTAATTTTTCTGAGTGATACTGTAGTCAAATCAAATTTGACTTACAAAACCAAATTTTCTAAATCCATTTATTCTTATTGTGCTGACAGCTGGCATCATTAATACTTTAAACCACTTAAAATTAGCCAAATATCTCAGATAGTTACATGTACAAAAGATATACAAATTAAAACCATTTAAAAAGTAATAGATACCATAATTTGTACTTTGACCCTAACTTCTGTATTCAGAAATGATTGTAAAGATTAAAACCTTAGAAAAAACTGTACACCATATACTTGGAGTGATTTACATCTTAGAAAGCAAAGGCAGTCTTTCACTGTTACACATTTAGTGTCTCTGGTGGGTTGAGGAGAGAAACACCATGATACCTGGAAGTAGGGAAAAAAAAAACTGTAAATATTCATTGGGTAAAGGGGCTCATGGAATGATACATATACTAGGAACTCAAAAATGCTGTTTGTATGCTGATTGAGTTAATGGTTATACAATCATTGTCTGGTCCACAAAACATGCACGCATACCCGTTCCTCTCCCCTCTTTTCCCTCAAATGCAGGACAGAAAGGGTAACTACAGCATACTCAGAACACCTGGCCTACTAAGAGAACAGTTTCTTAGGGAGGCTGTGTCTGTTTTGTGAATCCTTTGATAAAGTTAAAATGTCAGGTGTCCCAGAATCATGCAATAGCCTGGAAAAGCAAGCTTCTTTAGTATCATGTTAATTCTTACTTTGAACTTTTATACTTTTCCCTTATTGACTGTTGTGCGTGCTGTGGTGCTCTGAGGTAGGTCTGGTGAAGATCCATGAGGCAAGGCTTAAGACTTTCCAAGGTATATCCAGTCTTTTGAACTAAAGATTCAGGCTGCAGACAAGTGGGTAGAGAAGCACTGAGTTTTTTTTAGGAACAGACACCAAACACAATGAGTTAGTAGTTGGCATTAAGCTGGAGTTTTGTTAAATTTCAGGGCTAACACCTCCAGCTAAGAAATCTAGTTTTCTCAAGTCATTATTCCATCTTTTATGCTGACTTTGGTCAATTTTTACTACTTTCCCTGCCAGCAGCAGGTCCTATGGCCTGATCCTTTAAGCACACCTTTCAAATCCAAGTAATAACTAAGCTTTCTACCTAACAAACATACATTACTAAAACAGGTAAGACACTTTAAACAGTGCAGAGTTTTTGAAGTTTTTCCAGGTTAGTACCTCTAGCCCACCATCTCTTGTATAGGACAATTATCTGACTTAACTGACACAAATATTTAAGTTGCAAGGCAGAAGTGTGAAGACATCGAAATACATACCCAGCTTTGTCCTGTGACTGTGTAGAGTGCTAAATGAAAGGCTGCTGCAGCAATAACTGATGGCAAATACTTTAGGTATGGGTCAGCATCTATCAAACTTAATTCTCCCAAAAACTGCAATGAAAATGTAAATATACTTTATGATCACAAGAGCTCTAGAATTCAAACCTCAAATCCTTGCCTTCTGTCCTAATATTTTCCTGTTTTGAAGACTGGCTCTATGGCAACCATAGGAAAAAAAATTGTCACAGCCCTTATCCATTATCTTAGTGTTTTGCTCCATCTTCATTCATCCTGTATTTTTTCCTCTTTTAATAAATTTTTAAAACTCTTCTGGCTACCATTTCCCAAGACTCAATCCTCATTCCACTACTCCTAGTTACTTTCCCAATTCATGTTACCTTTCACCAATGGTAGGTTCTCTTTATACTATAGCATTAATTTGTCCCCTAAATACTAAATCCCTTGACCAAAGCTATGTAATTAAACTGTGTGACCTAAGAATCTTCATTCAACAAAATGAAAAGAACTTACCATTGCTAAACTTTCAACTTTGCAGTTGGCAGACTGCTGATGCAGAAAGTATTGGGTAAGAAACTGATTTACTGTTGGTGCAGCTAGGTCAAAAGCAAGCACTTTCAAAACTAGATGCTCCATTCTCAGGACTTGTTTCTTGGTATAGGTATCATCTGTAATGTACACAAACTCTGCTACTTCTGGGGGGTATATTTCTTCAAACTTTCTACAATGAAAGAAGTTTTAAGTAATCAGTCTTTCCAAAAGAGAAGCAAGCTGTTCATCTAATTCTGAAGTCCCTTTAGCAGAATACATGGAATGAGTCCCAAACCTACACTCCACCAGTTGCCTGTTTCCACTGATTTTGACCATTACCAGCAGAGACTAGATAGATGCTAACTGAAAGACCCAAATCAATACAGGACTCATGGGATATCTGTCCCAATGCAGTCAAATAAGAGGCCTAAGAGTTCCCAAGATGGTAACAATGCCAGAGTTCAAGTAAATGAAAATTTAGGAAATTCTTAGAAAAATAAACATTTTTAGTTTTTAAATTTAATTTCCATGTCTTAAGAAGATATGATTTTATGCCAGAAAGCACTTTTTGATGGAAGGAACCACACTTTTTTAAATTTGGTAATCTAGTCCAAGTGTATTAAAAAGTAGCCAGTCTCCATCTTTAAGGTACCCTGGAATCTAGATCTGGGAAAATTAATATCCTCAACTAGTTTCCACACTGTTTCATGCTGCTACCCCTAAAGTAGTTTCCAACTCTGCCTTGTGTATATTAAAATGTCAGTGTTAAAAATCACAACCTCTTCCTTACACAGAAAGGTACCAATCACTTAATCCAACAAACCAAGTTGGACTTACGAGGCTAACAGCATAGCAGCAGTGCCCACAAGCTGAAGTTTTCCTCTCAACACAGACATCGATGAAAGGAACCTATCAATGTAGTTCACAGCCAAATGCAGGGTCTCATTCTGTAGTTTATATTCTTCTCCTACTTCAACTAACCAGTCCACAAGGATAGCCCTCATACTGTTAGTGATGTCTGGCTGTTTCTTCATGTAACCCACTTTAGGCTTACATTTAACCTGTTGAGAAAGTTACTTAGTATAATGTTAAAATTACAATTAGATTATTCTACCATTAACAAAGATGCCACATACCAGAAACATCAGTATAACATTAGACTAATTCACCACCAGTTAAGGAACTTAAAAACATCCTCTCAGTTTCATTTTGCCACAATGAGTAAAACCGTATAAAAATTGGATTCAGAGAGCTGTTACCTCCATTTCCCTAAGGTATGTGTGAATGTCCTCATGGTAGTCTGGGACTTCATTGACACTCATTGGCTTTTCATCGTCTAATACAATTGATATGTCCATAGTATGTGGTGACTCTGGGAGAATACAGAAGTATGATTAAGTTCATTGTTTAATTTTCTAATTAATAGCCAAAACTGCCCTTGTAAGGAGTCCCATATGAAAGCATTTATTTCATCCAACTAAAAAGGGCTGTTCATGAAAAAGTACAAAGAATAGTTCACTGTGGTTTTAGTACCTCTCTCCACTTGGTTTTAATCAATAAGAAAAAATACTAATAGGCCACTAAAAGGAAAATGAGTTTGAAGATCAAGTACTATGTTAATATTCATATTGCATGAGAAATAAGAGCAGATGGCACAGTGATTCTGTTAGGACTGAGTTAAAATCCAAAAAAGTCTGGAGATATTATGTAGTATTTATCCTGAGAGTTTGCAGACCCCAAAGTCTGACATACTCAAAGTACAATCTAGGCAATAACTAAGCAGTGCTTCTATGAGTATATGAATGAGAAAATGAGGTTTGTTACAAGCAGTTCAAACAATTTAACACTACAATCAACAAGTAATTCATGTCTGTAACTTTAAATTATCTTTTAAGGCAAAGAATATCATTAATTATTCTTTTCACTTCAGGGTTCACTTTGAGGTTAAAATTTGTGGCAAATTTTAAATAAAAATACAAACATTACTTTATTTCCAAAGGCTTTTCCTGCAATTTCTAGACCACTTCTCACAGTAGAACTAGAGACTAAACTTAATGAGTTGCCCAGTGACTCAGCAGACCTATGGTAAAGAAGTTGCATAAACTGTTGGCAGAGCTGTCTTTATAGCAGCTACTTTTATTTTTATGTGGTTAAGTGCAAAGCCATGGTTCAATGCTTGACTTACAGTAGAATAATGTCCCTCTCTGGTATCAGACTGGATTTACAGAAACAAAATTTTAAAGCTGTAACAGACAGGTGCCTGGGTGGGTCAGTTAGTTAAGCATCCGACTTCAGTTCAGGTTATGATCTCGCCATTCGTTCAAGCCCTGCATCAGGCTCTGTGCTGACAGCTCAGAGCCTGAGGCTGCTTCGGAGTCTCCCCCTCTGCCCCTTCCCTGCTCATGCTGTCTCTTTCTCTCTCAAAAATAAATGTTACCTTAAAGCTATAAGAGATGTTAGATATCACAATATTGAAAGCTGCATCCTTTTCAAATACTGAGTGGTATGTACAAAGTGAGTCTTATGAATACAACTGAAATCTATTCTCTGGAAGCAAGCAAACATTTCCAGGGTCAGACTAAAGTGTTTCAGGTCTAATTAAATTGATGTGACTGGCAGTATACGGGAAGGGAGGAATACCCAATTAGGATTTATAGATCACTAGGTCAGCATATTAGCTGTGAAATCTGAGATGAGTCACACACTTTCTAAATTTTGTTACATTAAACCAAGTTCATAAATGTGCTAAGGATCAAGTAAGAAAATGTCTTAAAGTAAAAAATAGCATTAATGCAGCCTATATTTTAGTTTTTTTAAGAAAGATTATTATTATTATTATTATTTATTGTTTTAGAGTGCGGGAGTGACCCGGGGAGAGGGGCAGAGAGAAAGGATCTCAAGCAGGCTCCGTGCTCAGCAGGGAGCCCAGTGTGGGACTTGATCCCACAACCCTGGGATCATGGCCTGAGCCGAAATCAAGGGTCAAAAGTTCAATCCAGTGAGCCAACCAGGCTCCCCCAGTGTATTTAATAATTACGATTACATTGATTTGATACAGATGTTCTTTAAAACTTACCAAAACTACCATCCATTGGATAATCAAGAGGTACCAGTGGTTTTCTTGGTCCAGATAAAGTAATGGCTGAATTAAAAGCCAGGACATTTTCATGTTCCGTTTTTTTAGGTTCAGCTGGCCTCTTTTGAGTCTCTTCTTCTGCTTCATCCACATGAATGGTAAATGCAGGCTGTTTACTGTTTGCTTTCCAGGGAGGAACAGTGACATGCTCATCATTTATAGGAAGATCCTTAAGAGGTGCAACCTAAAAAGAAATAAATATTTGGCTTTGAGCCTGTTGAATGGAGTTTTGGTTTCTTCCCCTTATGGGTCTCAGTGTCTGCTTTTTACTCCCAAATACTCAGGAAATTAAACTGGGGCAAAGTCCATGCGGTAAAGTTTGAGTGGCTGAAGAAAGGGATGTTCAAATTCGTTACAGGCATTCCTACATAAGTTATAAAAAGAGTCACACTAAGTGGAAGATACAAAACTAATCAAGGCCACAAGATGGGTGGAGGGGCAGGCTGAGAAATGACAAGTTTAGGAGAGCCGGCAAAGAGGTGTCGGTTCACTACTTTCGCCCAAGGGTGGAGCAACCGAGCAAATGCGGCAAAATGGCGGAATTTACTAAAAGCAAAGTATTTTTTATACCCTTTCTTAAAGTTGAGGTAATCTTAACCATTTGGAGAAGGGAAGGAGGTCCAGATACTAGGGCAGGGCCTGGGGTTTAAAGCGGCGAGAAAAGCGCGGACACACGTAGGACTTGATTAGGGTTTGGTTTGACCCCCATTATCTATAGAAAAACATCCCCAATAAACAGCAGACAGGCAACATAACAGCTGGCGAAGAGAGCAATGGGGGAGAAGCTATTAAGTGGCATCCCACACGCCAGAAAACTAGGGATCAAGGTGACTCAAGACCCAGGGCTCCCTTTAAAAAAGCTCGGAAGATGCTTTCTTGCCACGCTCCTCGGCCTGCTAAACCTCGTGCAAAACTCCCGCTCGGCCCACCCTCCTGAAGATACCGCTCATCTCTTTACCCGTCGTGTCTTGGGCCTCTGCTGCGGTGCTGGAACGCGCGGATTCCCAGCCTTGAGTACGGCCAGCCCGGCACGAGTGCGGGGCTGCTGGGTGGGCGCCACCTTCTCAGGGTTGATGTTCTCCTGGTCCTCTTGGAGCTCCGTATGCTGCAATGCTAGCAGCGCCGAGCCCGCCTCGCGGGACGCAGGCCCCGGCGCGGAGCTGCCCAACATCACTGCTCCCGGGGTCGCGGCGGAATCAGCCTGGGGCGCCTAGCGGCGTGTACTCCGTCCCGCCGACCCCAACAAGAAACGCTCCAGCCGTAGCAATCCGCCGCAGCCCGGGCCAGCCTGCCCGCTTGAGATCACGGAGTTCCAAGTAAGTTGAGAAAGGCGTAGGCAGGAACTGCCGGGCGTGGAGGGCTAAAGACGCCCCCGAGATGTCGCGAGCAGCCCGCCGGAGCGGCGGCTGTTCATGCAGTTCAAGTATCCCGCGACTATTGAAATGAGCCAATGGAAAGGGCCGACGCCCGTGACGTCACTCTGGGCGACACAGTCGCAGGCAAATTAAGGCGGCCGCGAAGGCCACGGAACAGAGGCGGAGAAACGCCGAACGGCGGCGGGAGGGAAAACGCCTGCGCGGAGCGAAGAGGCGGGTCCCGAGTTTCTGGTGACTTTAAACTGGGCCACTAAGTGATCCCTGGGCTCTGGGCTAGGGCTGCCTCTTGGATAAACTGAGTTAAACTTAAGCAGTTATTAGTGAGCCACCCCAGTCGTTAGCTGTGGAACCTTCAGTTAGCCTGCCTGGTTTCCCAAAGTCCAAAATCGGACCCAGCCACTTACTGGCCTGGTAGTCGTGGACCAGTTATTTAATGTCTCTGATCCTCAGTTTTCTTATCTATTAATTGGGAGTAATGTCTACATGTCATACGGCTCTCATGATTATATAATGAGCATAAATCATTTACCCGCTGCTAACGTAATAACTGACACTCAAGTGGTAGACTATAATATCTTACCATTTAGGTGTTTCTTCAGTCATGCTTTTTAATTTACCTAATGAAGATGCAATTAAGTAAGGTGCCACTTTGAACTGTTGATATCTATATAATAAATATATATATATGATACGCATCATATATACATACGATACATCATATATGATACATATATATGATACATCATATATATAACATATATATAAAAAAATAGTAATGTTCTACAAGAAATTCAACTAGACAGTCACTGATTTTGATGAATATTTTGCCAAGCTGTGGCAGCCAACAAAAAGCACCAGTGAAATTCTAGTGACCTAGATATAATTATTTGTTCCATTTAGAAATGAAGGTTAAATATAATAAAAATATGACCTTATTAAAAGAAAACTCTCAGTGATATGTGACTTTAACAAATTTTCAAATTTAATATACAAGGCTTGCATATAATAAATATAATGGTATATGATTAAGAAGCATTACTGTTTTCTGACAAATTCATGAATGTGCCCTTCTTGAAAACATAAAGAATAGCTTATCTCCATTATAATCTTTATGCCATTTTAAAACAACCTTTAAATACAATATTTCCCTGAATATGACAAAATGTAAATTAAGATTAATGAATAAAACTTCTGTATTCTGTAACCTTAAAGTCATATTTCCCTCCATATATGATAAAAAGGTAATCAGTGGATCCTAGTACAGGAAAATCTAAGAAGCCATCACTATTTCTGCACTATTCACATATAGTACATTTGTACAGCTCTACTGGTTACAGGACATCAAATTAAGATCCCTTCAATCTGTGCAAGCTCTGCTCATTTCCCTGGCCACTATTTATAGCACTGGGGCAACTCAAGCATTTCACAAACTGAGCATGGGTCATAAAAACATTACCTAGCAAAAGTGAAATCAGTTGCAAATCAATCTCAACTCCTAGAAAAAATAATTGGTAAGTTACTTCCACTAGTTAACAATGTATACAGTAACCAGGACACAAGCCAGGCAACATAACTTGAAATGTGGTCCCAGTTTTACAAATAACAGCATGTCCTCTTTATCACTTAACCTCACAGAGAATTGGTTTTCTTATAGACCTGACAAAATAATATGTATTGTGAAGATCAGATGAAGTAATGTATGTAAATACATTTTGAAAACTTTAAAGCAATTTATACATGTGTGTAGCTTGTTATATATTTGAATAGATTTTTATTTTCCAAATATTTCTCAATTTAAAAGTTAAAACATCCACTTGCAAAAAATTCATTAACGTCCCTTATAATCATTCCACTTGTTTTAAAATAAAAATTCCTTTATTTTTAAAAAGCTCCATTTCTCAAAATAGAAGCACTACTAAAAGAAGTCACATCTTAAATATTTTTAGATGATATTAAAAAGCATTTGAAATAAAAGTGTGTACAGTTAGCATGTCCTGTATTTCTGTTTTAACATACTTTGTTTAAAAAGACAACTCTGGAACTTTACCTTGTTTATATATTTCATGCAGCCTCAAAGAAAGCAATCAATGCATTTTGATCATAACTGTCCAGAATCTCCAGTAAAAGAGGTACTTTGGTTTTTACATTGGTGCCTTTGAACTTGAACTTATCTATGAAAAGATCGGTGATCATGCCTATAAAGAAAAATGTTAATTTCCTATCATTGATTAGTACTAATTTCTAACACAGTACTTAATGAAAGTAAGTTATTACTTGAAATTCTCTAAGCACTCATAATTGTATTATTTAATATACAAGGCTAAAGGGATTGATACTATAAACAATATTTATTTGGGGGATTTTCTTTTTAAAGTTTATTTTGAGAGAGAGATAGCCATCAAGCAAGTAGAGGAGGGGCAGAGAGAGGGAGAGACAGAATCCCAAACATGCTCCATGCTGTCAGTGCAGAGCCTGAAGTGGGGCTCTAATTCATGAACTGTGAAATTGTGACCTGAGCCAAAATCAAGAGTCAGACGCTTAACCCCTGAGCGTCTTATTTGGGGTACTTTATTTGGGGTGCCCTTATTTGGGGGTACTTTAAGGCAAGTTTCAAAACATAAATCATTTGGCTAATAATCCTCTTAACAACTGGTTAAAAGCTACTGAATTCAGATAATTAACTCTTGGCCAGTTCTGAATTGCTTTTGGTATATATAACATCACAAGTGGTTTATTTTTCCCACCAAGCTGGCCATTTTGAGATAGTGTAGACAGATTCTGTTTTTAACAGCTGTATTTGAAATAAAACATTCCATCAATATATTGACCATTCTTGGGATTTATCCAAGACATGTTTCAGAATTTTTTATATTTTAGAAAGATAATAAAAGGAACATACCATATATGGCATAATATCCAAGGGGAATAAGTGGCAACATCTGATAACAAAACAGAATAGTGTTTCTGCAACAAAATATGTAGATAAATATTCACATTAAGTGGAATAAAAATGACTATAAATAACCCCATGCCAGTTTAAGTAAGGTTTGTCATTAAATTATTCAGATCGAGTCAAATTTGCTACCAAATGATTTATGAAACAAGCTTTAGTTTTCAAAGCTTTCTGGATTTTGGAACTGGTGGTAAGAGATGGTTTTCTGTACCACTCATCTTCATGTGTTTGCCATATTGTAAATATTAAGATATTAGATATTGTTATAGTTTGTGAGCAAGTCCCAGGGTAAAAAATAAATTCATTAGACAGGCTTAAGATCAGTGTGGATAGATGATACCAATTGACTCTAAAAGATTTGGCATAGCGCAAACAGCATGCAGTTTGGGGTGAGGAAGTTCTAATGCAGGCTTTGCCACTACAAATGTGACAACAAATTCTTTAGTCTCAGATTTCAATTTAAGAAAATGTAAAAAATGAAGATAACACCATCTATCTTGCAGAGTTGTTGTAAGGATTAAATATCCCACCTGATTAATAAAGATGTTATAAATCAATAGGTGTGCTATACACATAGGTCTTACATAAAGATTGCAAAATAAAAGAAGTTTTCCTTAAGCTGTTCCATTCTTCCTCTTTCTCTCCTTTCCTTCACATCTCCCTCTTGCTCTCACTGTTTTTCAAGACAATTTGTGAAATATCCAACGTGTCACCACCAAAGCAAAAAGAGTTTTGAACTATAAATTTATAGCACAATGTATCATTTATTACATTTTGCCAAAAAAATACTAAATGCTGCATTTTATAGTATAGTTCATAGTATCAACAAAACCTGAAAATTATTTGTGTGAAATACAGCCTACATTTTAATGCTTCATAGGTTATATTCACTTCACACCGGGTTTCTTCATATACAGAAATTAATTTACTGCATTACACCTATTTCACTTTTTTACTTTCATTCTACCCAGTAAAAATATTAAATATGAAAACTAATTTGACAAAAAATTTATGCAATAAACTAGTTGTCACTGGTTCATGAATGCTGTAATCTTTGCTTATCTTTCTGCCCATTTTCTCTCACATGATCCTTCGTAAACAGTAGGAAAGGAATATGGCAAGGTTTTCTAGAATAGTTTACTAACCATAGAGTCTTTCCAGATGTGCAGGTTGCTTTTTGTATTCTTCCTGTAGGTGATCTGCCTCTTCTAGAATACAGCGATATTCTGGTATCAGAAAGTTTGTATTTCCTTCATGAACCTGCAATTCCTTATTTAAAATTAAAAACAGAAGCACTTTAATGTTCAAAATTCAATCCAGTGTAACTTTAAAGTCTTTACAATTTTAGAAATCCCATCACAATAAAACAATGATTGTGAATCCACGAAATACATACTTACTTTTAAAGCATCAATTAATTGCACTTTCTTAGCCAAAAGCAACTGGTATTCCAGTTTTGGGTGGATTAGCTTTAAAGTGTGTTTGACTGATACTTCATTTATCTCTAGAAGAAGTTGATCCAGACACAATTAGGTAAGTCACTTTGATCAGAAACATTGTTACTGTTAACAAAAATACCCCTCCAAAATAATTCATTTTTTTCTTTTTTTTTTTTTTTTTTTTTTTTACCATACGATATGTTGAGGTTAATTTTCCTTTTTGTAGCTTCTTTAGAGAGCACATCTTTTAGGATTGATATAGTAGAAATGTTGTCAGATTTAAAAACTCCTTCTCCTTTCCTATAAAATTAATATATTTTTAAAAGAACAGCTTTAGAAGAAAATATAGTAATTAGGTCCAGTGAATACATATTTTGTGACTAGGAGCTGGTTTTTAAAATTC